AATAAAATGATGTTAAAATAATAAAATAAAAATTTTTTTAAACTCCCAATGCTACAATCACTTACGGTGTTAACTTTGAACACAAAAAACAAACTGTACCAGAAGGACAAATACCTGTGCACCTGGACAGCAACATCAGACTGCATTTACTTTACATTTGAAGTACACTCTGTCAGTCTGATAGTCACCGTTCTTAAACTGACCAATCTGGGTGTCAACTAGATTTCTAGTTATATTGTATATAAACTTGCACTTCCCAGTCCTTACATCTGTAATTACTTCTGAGGGATTTCCCTTTGGTTAACATTAACTTTTTAAAAATGCTCCTCATAGGAGGCTTGGTGCACAATAAGCCAATGGCATGAACATTCTTCTTCATCTACAACACCCATCCCGACAGCGTGGCGTTACAAACCTTCCGGACATCTGTAATGCTGGTTATTTCAGGAAGCCTTTCCAGAGAAATCTGATGACCTTCTACTTGGGCTATCAGGTGTTCCTGATTTACTTGTTGGTCACCTTCGGTGGTGACAACAATTAGAACTGAGGTGTCATTTGCAGAGATTCCAAATTTTTTCAAAGCATCTGAAATCTAAGGGGGAACAAACACGGCAGTGTTTCCTCATCTGTCGCGTCGGCCCCATGCTCCCACTGCTCACCGAGGGCAGTGCTCTATGCCGTCAGGCTTTCCTTCCCACACCATTTCTAGCATCTACCATTGGCCGATTGCGGTTCTCTGACGTGCTCTCTGCTTATAGCCAGGCCTCCTTACAGCATCCAGCAGACTTCTTGGCATGGCGCTCGCACACACCTCCCTCTGGCCCCAAGTGACTCTCCAGTCAGACTCCGACCTTCTAGCCAGCCGGACTGTTGGGGCATCCCCTCACAGGTCACCCATCCCCATGCTCACACTTGGCTCTGGCTAGGCTGAGGAACTCATCCCTCAAGGTACTGTTCAAACGTTACTCCCCACTGCCCCCTCCTTCCTCTCCAGAGGACCAACAAAAACATTCACTGCCATTGTGTCAATCTTTACTCATGGTGACCCTGGAGGGCAGAGAACCACCTGCTCCTGTGGGTTTCTGCGACAGTAGACAGCCTCACCTTTCTCCTGTGGGGTGACTGGTGGTTTCAAACTGCCAACTCTGTAGTCAACAGCCCTCCGAGCAACCCACTACACCACCATCATTGGCCTTAGTGCAGCCTGCCTCTCAAACGCCATCAGTTCTTCTGCTCTTGGGCAGAGACCGGCTCAGCTAATGTCTAGTGAATACTTTGTTTTTCTTAAATGTTTCAACCCTCTGTATGGGTGGCTTCAAAAAGTGTGTGGAAAAACAGAAATGGAGAGATAATGGGATTTTGCCACACACTTTTGGAAGCCCCTGGTGTTTTAAACCATTCACGAGTTTTCTAACTTCTCTTTTGAAAGTATAACCTGGCTGTGCAATTAATAGTAGCTGTAATATTAAAAGCTCCTTTGTGTGTGCTGTATGTGCCCTTACATTCGCCTTTCCTGAGAAGGTGTTACTAGCAGTATCCCAAAGTTGCACACTTCCACTACGCGCTAGGCTTCACGCAGAGGTCCCTGAGGTGTCGGGCCGCTAATGGAGAGCTGGCAGTCTGAAGCCACCAGATGCAGAGAGGAGGAGGGTTTCCGGTCTCAGAAGTTCTACGGAGTATTCTACCCTGTCCTATATGGTCGCTGAGTCCGAGTCCAAGCTACAGCAGGAGACGGGTTAGGGACCACAGTCCCCCCATATGGAAAGATACGACTCCACGGCAAATAAGGTACAGGGAGAGTGGAAGATGAGCCCGACACAAGCTCTCCATGCCTACTGCTGACAGCCAGGTCAGTGATTCGAATCCGACAAAGATGAGACTTTCGCGTCTGGCAAAGATTTTCAGTCTTGGAAACCCACAGGGGCAGCTCTGCTTTGTCCCACAGGGCTGCTCAGTCAGACTCGACTCAATAGCAGGGTTTTAAAAAATATTTTCTCTTTTACACTTCTGACAGCTGCTGAGGAGCTTCTCCCGACTCTATATGGTTATAGAGACAAAAGTGCCCTCACTGAATTTGGCTAAGCTTTTAGATATTCACATATAACATGACTGCAAAGCACCCTTGCCAGCAAGAGGCTGAGCCGAGCCGAGCGAAGACCCCACTGCTGTTAGTTTGGTTTATTACTAACAGCACGTTTACAGGAACGTTTGAACTCAACTCTGAGTAAAGCACATGTTGGGGAGACAACAGGAAAAAGTAAGCGAATTCAACTTTACATTGTTATTTGGGGAAAGGTTGAAAATAATTTCAGTCGATAAGGTTCTTGTCTTCATTTTTCTCAGTTTGTACAGGTGAACTGCTTTGTTTGCTGCGACAAGTATCTGAAAAGGATCGACAATCTACGGGAGGGGAAGGGGGCGAGGGGGTGGGGGGGAGAGAAACAATTAGAAAGAAAGTACCAGGCTCGTTCAGCACACAGACATGTTACCACATGAAGAGGCTGCTTTACTTTTTCACAATTCCTCTGGACTGTACTTCCAAAACTACTCTCTCTAGGGCCTGGAGTATAAAATCCTAAGTTTACAAGGAACTTATGCAAATAGTAAAAAATTCAAAAAGAACATTAACTGAGGTGCGGTTGGTAGGCCCTGGACTGACTGCTGAGACTACCAGGTCAGTGGTGCACATTCACTAGCTGCTCGAGAAAAAGTTCTGCTCCTGAAAAGATGAGCAGCCCCGGACACCAGGGGTTGCAGAGTTGGAAAGGACGCAGTGGCCATGGATTTGGGGTAACAGTAGTACACGAAAGGCCATAGACGAGTACATTTTATTTAGAGTCTTTTCTGTAACCCTTGAAACAACCCTATGGCGTTGATATTATTCACATGCGATAGAGGACACAACCAAGGCACACAATGTCTAGGTTGGAATCCCAGCTCTGCCACTGACCACCTAGGGAACGTAGTCGCCTTCCTGAGCACTTCCCGTTAGCTGTCGGCCATGCTGCTGGGGTTGTTGGAGGCCAGAGGCACTTCTGACTCCCAGTGACCCTGTGTACGATAGAAGGAAACCCTGCCTGGCCCTGGACCATCCTCAAATTCTCCTCTTGGAGCCCATTGTCGCAGCCACTTTGTCCATCCAGCTTGTTCGTGGTCTTCCTCTTTTTCCTTAACCTTCTACCTAACAGATGTCCTTTTCCAGGGACTGGTCTCTCCTGATAACATGTCCAAAGTACGTGAGATGAAGTCTCACTGTCCTTACTTCTAAGGAGCATCTGGCTGTGCTTCTTCCAAGACCAATCTGTTGGTTCTTTTGGCAGTCCATGGTACTTTCACTATTCTGCCAGCACCTGAATTCAAATGCATCTTCTCCTCTTTGGTCTTCCTTATATTCAATCGCTAACTTTCACACGCATATGAAGCAAGGGGAAATATCACGGCGTGGGTCAGGCACACTTCAGTCCTCAAAGGAACAACTGTGCTCTTCGACGCGTTCAAGAGGCCTTGTGCCGCAGTTTACCCAATGCAATGTCATTCCATCTCCTGACTGCTGCTCTCATGAGCATTTATTCTAACTCTAAGCAAGATGAAGTTCTTGACAACTTCAACCTTTCCTCCATTATCAGTGTTCCCTATTAGTCCCATTGTGAGGACTGTGGTCTTCTTTACATTGAGTTGTAATCCACACTGAAGGCTGCAACCCTGGGCTTCATCAGCATGTGCTTCAAGTCCGCCTCCCTTTCAGGACGCAAGCTGTGTCACCTGCAGTTCAGATTGCTCATAAGCCTTCCTCCCGTTGTGAAGCCATACTCTTCTTCATGTGGCTCAGCTCCTCTGCTGATTCGCTCAGCATACAGACTGAATACGTGTGGTGAGAGGATGCAACCCTGACACACACACCTATGGGAAACAGAAGGATTTCTCCCAAGCTGTCTCCCCCAAATACATGCCAGACTTAGCTGCTTGAGCATGACTGTACACTTGGAGGTCACCAGGAGTGGATTGGGGGTCATTCTCCCTGAGAGTTATCAGCTGTCTAGACCAAGCAGACACCACTGTCTATCCCACAAGTAGGGCCCACTCCTTTCTGATAAGGATAGTAGTTGTCTGTTTCCTTGTAGGAGACACACCCTCCCAAGGATGACCAAGATTAGGCTGCCATCATGAATCTAGGGTCCGCCCATCTTGTCACATGTATACCCCTAGACCTTCCCATTCCTATGGGCACATCCCTAGCTCATCCCCTTCCTGTTACGCTTATGCCTACCATACATCCCCTTCCTACAAAGTGTACGCCTATTGTACTGCCCCTTCCTGTGACATATGATCCTGTAATGATGTCCCCTTAAAGTGATATAATGGGTGGTTAGCAATAAAGAAAAGAGGCTCCCCGGTTCTCAGGCTGCTCCTGCTCTCGTGGCCGGGTTCCCCCCACGAGGACCATCAAGCGGGGCTGAGGTGAGCATGCTACCATGAATTGTGTCTGACTCCATTTATTCCAATCTCTCCTCTAACTCTCATGCGCTCTATGACTTTACTATAGCCCTCACTTATTATTGCTGTACAATTGCGCCTACCGGACCTGTGATTTGTGGGGTCCCCTCCCCCCCTTAACCCCACACACACCTTTCTGGATTTTAAACCAGGTAACATTCCCTTGCTCTGTCTGCACAACTCCTCCACATGCCTTTGCAGATGTAGTTAATAACTGTGCTCATTTCACAGACGTATGTCAAGGTTGACTTCTCGGATGTAAAGCATTTAGGGCAAGCGCCACTGCCCAGCCTATATAAAGGTTAGCTGAGACTTGACCTCTCACAATAAATGATACAATAAATGACTGGAATGAAGTGCTGGTAATGCGACTCCAGTGTGTACGCTCAACCACTACACTCTGTCTCCTTCACTGAGATGTCCCAGTCTTTATTCCACAGGCGGGAACACAAAGACTGGGGCCTCAGGCATGCTATGGGAGCTAGACCACAGTCTTTCCTGTGTCCTTCACCAGGGCCTGGACTTTGTGTCCATTCACAGCTCAACTCACTCATCTCCACAGCTTTGTCGAGAACCTTTCACTCAAAGATGATAGCATTTTGGCTGGCCTGTCACATCAAGAAAAAGAAACCGGCTATGAAACTCTCCGTAGGACTCATCCATGCACACACTTCGTACTTACCACTGTCGGCTTTATTAACGAGCCATCAAAGGTGCCTTCCATGGCTTTTTTCACCAAGTCGCCAGCATTTTGCACATCTTCAAATAAGAAAAGGGTCACCCTGAATTCAGGGAATAGGTCTAGCTGATGTGTCAACTGCATTTCGCGGAAAAGGTTTCTACGGGGTAAAATCAAAAAGATCGATCGACTAATTTTGTTGAAAAGTGAACATGACATCACCAGAAAGTTAACATTACAACTCGTTTCATTAACAGGCCTTGCCTGTTTTGCTTCTGCAAGTGAATGTGAGATTCCGTCTTCCTAACCCGGCTCCCTGAGCTTCCCACCACTCGCAGGAAAAAGCACGGGGGCCGCCGCTCGGCTGGTCCTCCGATGCGCGGGAAGGGGGAGGATAATAAAGATGAGGGATATCCTCTTAACACTCGGAAATTAAGCAGACAGGATCCAACTATGACACAATCACACGGCTTCCTCCTCAGCTCTTCTCACAACTAAGCGACGGCTGACTTAGGACGCCCACTCTCCTCGACTGGAATCGGGGCGGGGCCGAGTCGGCCGTGTTCTCGGAGCGCTCGGGAGACACTGACGGAGGGACTGTGCTCCCGCGACCACGCGGTGTTGGCGGGTGGCACCGCAGTTGGCACCGCGGGCGGCACGCCACCTCCCCACACCCCGCAGCCCCTCCCGCCGCCGGCCCGGGGAGCACTCACCGCCCGGCGTGCGCTTCGCCTCGAGCGATCTCCCCTCCCGGAAACAAACGCCGCGGCTTCCGGATGCGCTGCCGCCGCTTCGTCCAATCCCCGTCCTCCGCCGACGCGCTTCCGGCCGCGCGGGGCCGGCTCCCCGCCTTTTCCGGTCCGGGCGGGAGCGAGGCGCCGGTGCTAGTGGAGCGCAGGAAAAGCGCAACTCCGTCCGACTCTCGGGCGAGGGAGGCCCGAAGAATTCGTGATCGCGTTCCCGCTGTTGTCCGTCGCTAGGTTCTTGAACGAGACGCCTTCAACTTCTTTTTTTGGCAAAATAACGGTGGACCTCGATACGTGCAGCACAAGCGTCCGCCGCAGGCCTGTTCGCGGTGGGTTAGGGAGCATCTGCTGGCGCCTTCCGCGCAGTGCTTCCTTGGGATGCTGGGAAGACCGGGACCGCGGAGCCTTCTTCCCACAGGCTGCGAAAGCAGACCCTTCCAACCCGGAGACCCACCCCCCCCAACCAATTTCAGTGTTTTAACGATGAAAAAAAGTCTTACATTCGTGAAGTGTGGATTTCATTTTAGCAAATACCCAAAGCCATTTAAGGCACGTCTGATGAAAGATTGGATGTGGATGTTAGGTTTATGCAATTCAGTCACTGAATAGTCTTGCAGATTTCTCTAACCATCCTCAGTGGGGCCTTGGCCTCAACCTCCCCCTCCCCCTTAATTCTTCTCCCAAGCCCAGTACTTGTGTTTTCTCTAAATAGCATTCCAACAACACAAAGTCTTGAAGGTTCATAGACTATCTGCTGCTGCTGCTGGCCTCTTCTAAAATGCTACCTTCCCCAACCAGGGCCTGTTGAGACCCGAGCTCTTCTGGGACCAATTCACTCCATAAAATGTCACCTCCCTTTTAGAGCATTCTGTAATTCCACACCTACAGGTCTCAGGGCATTTGTCTCCTTGGCATAGAGTTTTGTTGTATCTCATCTGTGTGTATTTTCAAGTGTTTTAGCCAGTACCAATGAGTGAAGGCTTAATACATAGTGTTTCATGTATTTGTGTGGTTTGGGAAAGTTTACAGCACAAATGTGTTTCCCATTCAACACCTTATATGCATCATACATACTTGCAGAATAAAGAATGGTAGCCACAAATGCCAGTGTTCCATCAGCTCTCATTCTACAAGCTCTGCCCGTGCGACCTGCTCTGCCATCACTTCAAGTCATCAGGCATGTATTTCTGATGCTATTGAACATCTCCACCAGGGCACCAACAGGCCTCTCTACTTCATTCCCTCTCCTCCCTGTCTCAGGACATAACATCTCACCTTTAGCCACAAAGCTGAAATTCTCACTTGGTTTTTACTCTTCTATCTTCACTCTCATTGGCCACCAAATTCTGAAGTGTCTTAAATCTGGGTCTGAATGACTAATGAATTCTCACTCCCTAACTTTGGCACATTATCACATTAAAAGAAAGCTATATTCAGCTAAGAGAGCAGAAGAGATAATTTATGGCGCACACCACATTGAACCACAGCTGAGAACAGAACTAATCCAGAACGTCAGATCTAGAGCAAATGATCAAGATGGGATGGATTAGGTATGAGCAAGGTGGGGCTCACAGGTGCTTGCCATGATCCAATGGCCATGGAAGTTCTAGATCCATAGAGACAGAAGTTCTAGACAGTGGTGCGCAGTCAGTAACTTGTCCCAGCGTCCTGGGCTCGGGCATTCCTTTCATAATCCTGCTGCTGTGGCTTCCGTGGGGGCTCATGCTAATTTACTTGGACCTTCGGCTCGTCTTCCTTCTCTTTCAAGTTTGGACATTCACATCTTCCTCCACTTGGCTCATCTGCTTCAGGAGATGGGGCGAAGGCTGAGGGGCCCTCATCACATCTTACCCAGTTACTCCATTCAGATATTGGTAAGCAAAATAGCCAGTCCACGCCTTTCCATGTGGCCCTCGGGAAATGACCTTTCTGTACTTAGTCTAAAAGTAGGAGCAATTGTAAACATATCCTGCTTGTGTTTCCATTGTGGGTGGAGGGTGGTGACATACGTAGAAATTGTGAGGTACCTTAGTGGTACAAGTGGTTTGCGCTCAACTAAGAACTTAACGGTTGGCAGTTTGAACCTACTCAGCAGGACCATGGAAGAAAGGCCCAGCCACTTACAGATTACAGCCCTACTGGGTGCTAGGCAGTCTGTTGACTTCAGAGACAATGATATCCGCAAACTATTTAAATGATAACAAATACACTCCTAAATGGGGCTGCTCTTTGCTCCGGCCCTTCATCTCTCTTCATTTAAGGTCCCTTGGCTGACTCACATGTCAGACCAACTTTAAGGAAAAATACCCTCCCATTGCCCCTTCCTGTGTTTAAAGGGTATATAATCCCTTGCCTCTATACACATAAAAACTTCCACAGCATTAAAGACACCTGGTGGCGCGGTGGATTAAGCACAAGGCTGCTAAGGCCAGTGATCCAAAACCATTAGTCATTCCAAAAGGACAGTTGAGGCAGGCTGCTCATAGTTGTAGTCTTGCAAGTCCTAAAGAGCGGTTCTGCTCTGTCTCACACAGTCGCTGTGAGTTAGAAGCAACTTAACATCGTGGGTGCATAGATCTTTGTGTAAAGGCGAAGGGATTCTGCCTTTGCAAGCTTATAGGGCAGAAAGTGATCTGCCCCACGAGGTGTCCTAGGCTGTAATCTTTACAGGAGCAGACCACCAGATCCTTTTTCATGAACAGGTTTGATGACGATCCCAGCCTAGAAAAACCTATGGGACAGTGGGTCACTGAGTCAGACAACACAACATTACGGGAGCAGATGGCCAGCTCTGTGATCCCGAGCCTCAAGGTGAGTTCGAACCATTGATCTGTTGGTCAGCAGCCTTTAACATGTATTGATCCTGCCTCCATCCCATAAGGACTGGAGCCCAAACAGATAGTACATACTCTTGAGACCTGAAAACTACTGATTGCCCTATAGGTCTGCTGCCAACTTAATGGACAACTGAGGGCCCACAATAATTGACTAAAAGGGGTGGGCGTGGAGGGAGATGTTTGCTACCTAAAACCTAGTACTGAGACTCCAATCTCAGCTACTGCTAATTTAATTGGAAATCAGTCTAGAACTTTGTTAACCACGAGCCCACTCAAATGGGGATCCACCTGAGGACACTCCAGTCCTACATCCTCAGACCCCAAAATCTGTAGTGCCTTATGATAGGCCGACCCTGGGCACTGAGACCTGCAGGCGTGGGTGTGCCCAGGGTTGGCCTATCATAAGGCACTACACATTGACACAGGACATTGACTCGTTTCTTCCTTGGCATTCTAGATTCCATTGTTTCTTGAGCGTGCTCTTGGTTTCCACATGGTCTTATAGACTTTTGATTGCCCAAACCCTAGTACTCTTGTAGAGGTTTCTATCAGTACCATTCTAGGACAGTGGATAGTACTTTCACCAGAAGGCAACTGCTTCCCTCAGCCCCACTCCCCAATGCTTTCTCCGACCTTCCCTGTTCCAACTTTGCACCATGACCTCTCACCTTTCATCTGCAACTGAAACCACATTTCCCCTGGGTTACAAATACCACTAACCTGTGACACAAGAAAGACACCACAAGTTATCATTAGGCAATACCCTCCACTCTAGCATACTTTACAACTCCACCAAGACACTGTCAGAGATCTCGCAAGTTGTAGGTGGTCTCTTTGGCTAGAGAGCGAGCATCGAGGAGCCAGCTGCCGAGTCGATGCCATCTCACGGCACAGCCCTGACTGCTGGTACGTCCACATCCACTGCTGCAGGCATCTCACTGAGGGTCTTTGTTGCCCTTGTTAGTCTCCACTTCACCAAAGATGATCTCCTTCTCCAGCACGTGATCCCTCCAAAGGGGCATGAGGCACGCAAGCTAGTCAGTGTTTTGTGATCCAACAGGTTTCCGTTGGCTGATTTTCATAAATAAACCAAGAGGTAGTTCTTCCTGGCCTTAATCTGAAAGCGCCACTGAGACCCGCTGCTGAGCTCCCACCACGACAGCAACGTGGGGGCCACACGGTCGCCCACCCTGAGAGATGGGGGTGCTACCTGGGTCATAGCGCCTAAGTGGGGGAGATGATATGCACAGCCTACAACGACTTCTCTTAGACTCTCATTTGCTTTCCTTCTTTTCACTGTTGTGATAAAATCTTTCCTGTGTTGTTTAGGGAATTGTACGCCCTCTTCCCTGAAGGGCTCCACTGTCATTCTGGCCGCACAAATAATTGAGCTGAAAACTGATATAAAGACATCAAGGGGTCAATTGTAACATTTTTTAATTAACATTAAAAAAAACTTTTTTTTTTATTGTAACTTAGGTAAAGGTTTACAGATGATCGATTCTACATTCAAAAACTCATCAAACCTCCCAATATCATGGTCTGTCTCCCATCGATGTTGTTGAATACTGGCCACCTGCTAGTCTGTGACTTCCCTCCCCTCCGTGGTAAAATGCTGGCTTGGGTCGGTTTGAGGAGCTGGTTGGAGACCAGTCGACTGCCTTTCTCGAAGAGATGACTCTGCTCACAGTCCAAGCATTCCCTGCAGGAGGTTCCCACACTCCTGGGCCACTATGCACCCATCCTCCCTGCCCCATGGTCAGGCACCTGAAGCCCCTGCGCCCGAGCTTGGAGAATTCATCAAAATGCCCAGTCCACAGGAAGCAGACACCACCGTTTGCCACACAGAAGCCCTCTCTTGCAATTCCAGCTTCTCCCCGCTCCTCCCCAGGTGTAACGAACTCCCTGGCTTGCTATTCCTCCCTGTTGCCGGGACTCATGAGTATCATATAGCTGGTTACTTTTCACAGTATCTCTTTCTCAGAACACACATTATCGTCTCATGATAAAAAGGAAACAATCTGAATGTTCACCAACAAATAAGTAAACAGAATGTTCTATATTCAGATAATGGAATACAATTATTACATATACATACAACACATAATGGGATCCAACTCGGAGCCCACTATGACGACGTAGACCAACACAGATGAACCTCAAGTTAGTTGTGCTGAGATAAAGCAGCCAGATTGGGGGACAGGGAGAGGATATGAGTGTACACTGTCTGATCCCACTGATACAGAATGAACCCCTACAACCGGAAGCCAGCCCATCACCCGATGCTTGGGCAGAGGAGCATGAGGGTCAAAAGACAGCTCACACGGGGACACAGGGCGAGGCTAGGGGAGGAGGATGGCCTATGTGGAGTGTGCTAGTGGTTTCGGGAATCTTCTTGTTAGCTGCCACCGAGTCGGGTTCGGAACCATAGCGACCTTGTGCACAACAGAAGGGACCACGCCCCAGTCCTGCGCCAGCCTCACAAGGATGCCTGTGCTGAGTGCATTGTTGTACCACCTCCTGGAGGGCCTTCCTCCCCTTGACCACATAGGACGTCCTTCTCCCGGGATTGGTCTCTCCTGACAACAGGGCAAGTATGTAAAAACGTATCAAATGGTATACCTCAAACATTAGCATACGGACTGTATGCTTATTCTACCTCGATGAAGCTTTAAAAAAACAACAACCGGGAGGGAGGGGGAGAGGAAAAAGGAAAAGGAGCTAATTCCAGGAACCCAAAAGGAAAGCGAATTTTGAGAATAATGAGGGCAACAAATGTATAAGTGTGCTTTACACAATTGATGCATGTATGGATTGTGATGAATTGTATGAGCCCCAACAAAATGATTTAAAAAAATAACCAACCTTTGACAAGCCAGTCAGGGTGCAGATAGTACCAATGAAACATACAACTTTCCTCTAGTTCTTTAATGCTTCTCCCACCCTCCACCACCACTACAATGACCTCAATTCTACCTTACAAATTGGACTAGACCAGAGCATGCACACTGCTACAGATAAGAGCCCGCAACACAGGCAATCCAGGATAGATAAAGCCCTCAGGACCAATAATGAGAATAGAGATACGAATAGAATAAGGGGAAGGTAGAAGGATAAAGGGGGAATCGATCACAAGGATCAATATATAACCCCCTCCCAGGGGGACAAACAACAGAAAAGTGGGTGAAGGGAGACAGATGACAATGTAAGATATGAAAATAATAATCTATAATTTATCAAGGGTTCAGGAGGGAGGGAGAGAGAGAGAGGGAGGAAGAGAGGGGAAAATGAGCTGATACCAAAGGCTCAAGTAGAAAGAAAACGTTTTGAAAATGGTGACAGCAACAAATGTACAAATGTGCTTGACACAATGGATGCAATGTATGGATTATAATAAGAGCTGTATGAGCCCCCAATAAAATGATTATTTAAAAAAAACACCCAACCTTTCCCCCGCCCTTCCCGACAAAAATAGTAGGCGATATCACCAATTCTATATTAAAATAGCTGGCAAAACAAAAATAAAACATCCACTGACAATGCTAAGTGCTGCCAAGGATAGGGGCAACTGGAAGTCTCACACAGTGTCGACAGGTATGTCAAACAGCACAGGCACCTGGGAAAAGTTCGACAGCTTCTTAGCAAGTTAGCATCTACTTGCACATGCTCATGCAAAAGCCCCGTGTGTAAATGTTTACAGAAGCTTTGTGCAAGATTTTAAAGCTGGGCACGTCCAAATGGCCTTTACCTGGTAACTGTGGTACTTGTAGGAACCTGGGCTGCTAACCACAGGGTCAGCAGTTTAAAAACTAACAAGCCCTCCTCAGGAGAAAAATGAGGCTTTCTGCCCCCATAAAGAGTAACAGTCTCGGAAACCTACGGGGGCAGTTCTACTCTGTCCTATAGAGTCGCTATGAGTCAGAACCGACCTGATGGCGGTGCGCTTGGTTTGCGTGGGACCTGTGTTATCTGTTGACCTTGGTCATCACGCCAAACTATCAAGCCAACATCTAAGGTTGCCAGGAAAGACACGACTTACACAGAGGTGCTGGATGGGCACTTCACTGATCAAGAGAAGAGACACATCCAGGCCAGCTTTAACTCAGGCAGGCCCATCCTCCACAGCCTTGCAGTGCCTGACAGAGCTGATGGTCTGCATGCACCCCTCAACTGCAGAAGAGATGCCTCATCCCCTCCCCACGGAGACGCACAGAAAGCGGGTTGGCCAGATGTCTTATAATTTGCACACTGGGCTAAGCAGTTCCTGCTCAGGGAGTAATGTTGATCCGCGCTCAGGGCAAGAGAAGTAATGTGCTCATTGGCCACTAGCTGCGATGGAATGTGTTTTGGGCTGAGGCTCTGGGGAAGGGAGCCAGCCCACACTATTCTGCTGTCTGAGAAGCCAGGCTGCCCTGTTTGGTCCCAAGCACAGCTCAGCTGTAGGTCACAGGGCAAGGCAGCAGGTAGTACTAGCCAATCCCCTATGCACAAGCTCCTGTCGGCTAGAATACTACTCAGCAACAAAAAAGGTGCAAACTAACGATCCGTTCACTGGCATGGGTGAACCTGAACAGCACTAAGCTGAGTCCGAGAAGCCAGATTTACATGGCAATCTAGAAAAGGCAAAATCAGAGAGAGAAACACTTGGTCAGGGATCTGGGATTGGGAGGAGGTGTTGGGTGAAGGCGCCCGCGGGATCTGAAGCGAGACGGAACTGGTGTGTGGGCTGGGGTGGCAGCTACAAAATGTGAACGCCTGTCAAAGCTCATAGAAGTGTACATGTAAAAAGGGCAAATCTCATGTCAGATACCTGCTGAGGCTTACTGTGTATCAGGATTGTGGGACACTGCTAGACTCATCAAAGGTTTTCAGCTTCCCCTGCACCTAAAAATAATAAAGACGCTCCGCTCCGTAACTGTGGTCCCTCTGTGTGATTCAGAGGAACAAGGAGAGCGCGCTTAGGGAAAGGTGTCGCTCCCGTAGGAGAGGCAACGAGAAAGGGCCCCACACATAAGGGGCAGCAGAAGAGCGGATAACAAGAGCCGTGAGTCGGTCCGACAGTCCAGACTGACTTCTACAGCCAGACCTGATTAGGCCACTAAGCAACGTCTATAAACTGTACAAGAGTCCCACCAAAGACAATGTGCCTGGTGGGCAGACCTGGCACCTTCTCCAGGCCTGTGTTAGATGGTATATCTGACCATTCAGCGAAAGGAAGTTGAAAATCCCACGACAGACTTCCAAAGAGAGAGCTCTCTGGTGGCAAATGCATCACAATTGACTAAAGAGAGCGAAGAGGTGCTACCGAGGTGGTCCTCTCGGTAGTGTTAAGCAAACTTCTGAACAGTTAAAGAACGAATCAACAACAGGTCAGTCATGGAAGATGACAAAATATGCTCACTGGTATACACAAGTCTAGTCAGAGGATAATATGCAGAAAAAAAGAGAATTTAAAAAAGGAATTTGCAAGGGGATTCTTTATTACTTTTTCAATTCCAAAATATTTCCTTAGAAAAGTTACAAGACTGAAATGACAGCATACCTTTTCCTGTACTGTCCCATTGTGTAAATCTTCAGCAAAAGAGATAATCAATATAATTTTTCCTTGTTTAATACATCCAGGAATAATAAAATAGACAATAAGCCTCATCAGAACTGACCCCGTGAGGTCACTCTGGCTGCCTTCAGTCCAGCTCCGCGGTCCAGAGAGGTTTTCTGTGGAGCTTCACCCCTCGCCCGATCACCCCCACGGGGTCAATAGTACGATCTGTGGTGAGGTCTGCTGGGAGGGAATCTTCTGTTCTGGGCGGCTTGACTGGTGTCCGGCTTGACATTCCAAGAGTATCTGCTTTGGGAATAGTGCTGCCCAGGGGGACCCGGAGGGGGTGGGGGAGCAAGGCCTCTCTGGTAAACATGCTGATTGTGTGAAAATGTCCTTAAAACAAAAAAAAGGAAAGAAAATGTCCTTAAAACCAAACCAAAAGGATGAAACAGTATCAAGAATAATAGCATGCACTGTATGAGGATTAGTAGTCTTTACTCAGCCTTATGCACACACAGATACCATGCGCTGTTCCATGCCAGTGTAACCTTGGGCAGATAAACTGTTGACTCTCTCTTTGTCCATTTTAAATGGAGCTACCAATACCTCCCATCCTCATGGGTTGGTGGGCTGTCATCAATGACTTCATAGGGCCCTTTGGCCATAATCCCTTTGTGATGTACGGTCAATGCTACACTCTGTGTCTCCCACCTTGGAGGGAGTCCTTGGGAACAGGACAGATCCTTGGTCTCCAAGTGACTAGAAGGTGTGACTTCCAGTCACCGCCCTTTGTTTTCTGTCAGGGTACGGTCTATGCAAAGGTCAAAACCACCCCTCTACGAAAGAGCCACCTCAGAAGCAGGCACGAGAGAAAAACCACGGGACAATCTGAAGAGCCACGAGTGGAAGCACGTTTGAAATCTGGCTCAAGTGGCAGAGGCACCAGAGGCTGTAGCGATGGAGACCATGGGACAGAGCAAAGAAGCCCGTCAAGATCAGAGGCCAAGACAAGGAGACCATGAGATAAAACAGGAAGCAGTGCAGAAGCCACGAGTCAGGGGTGCAGAGCAGGGGCTGGCTGCTGGGCCCGTGGAGGCAGAGGCCAAGGGAACATGGGGCTGAGACCAGAGAGAGACTTGGCTGCTGGCTGAAGAAAGGCACTGCTGTGAACCAACGCTTGTGTCCTTGCCGTCTACTGATCCTGACTTGTGATGACCTGGTAAGCCCTCATCATTGGGACTATTGTCTGTGAGTTCTGTGGCCATCGCAACAAGCCTTGAGCCCAACAGAGAAGCAGAGTGCCATGGAGGCACGACTGGTGCCAGAATAGGTCAGAAAGGTGGAAGGCAGAGGCACGTCTGACCTCTGCCTCGTGGTGGTGAGAAAGGGTCTCTGTGCCATTCTCACACCAGGCACGCAGGTAAATTCAGACATTCACATTGTGTAATACAACACCTTGACACACAGTGTGCTCCTGGGACCCTTTCCACCTTGCGAGTGAGAAAGAGAGAGAGATTTACACCCACACTGTTCTACTCAGATATGCTCCTTCCAAAAAAGCCCAGCAGGTTAACATGAGACAAAAAAAAGTGATGAATTTTTGAAAACAGAGTTGTTTTCATCTTATAAATAAGAAATAAAGAAAGACCCTAATCCTGGAACATGCAAGAAATGTAGGGAATTAAATTGTTTCAAAACCGAGATCAGTATTTCTAGTAAATATACTACAAAAGAAAATTTGGAAGCCCGAGAAAGAGCACATGTAAAACCCTCAATTCCACTTCCTCTAACTCAATGGGTGAGTATTTCCTTTTGGTCCCTACCATCGTGCTTATGCTGTTGAATCTTATCATTTCCACTATCACTGCACTATCACCTTGAATGACAATAACACACTATACACGGACAATCAGAATATAACTACTCATCACTGTTAACAGGTAAGCTGCTACCCCTGTCTCCACGATTCGGAATCACACCAGGAGCAACGTCTCATTACAGACACTAATGTTGCCTGAGCAATCTAGCAGGGTCCAGCACAGCAGGGGGTTTGAAAGACGTGCTGAACGTTTGAAGGAATATAATTTTGGGCTCATTTTGAAGCATTTCCTTAGTTTTAATGTGGAACTACCAGACATGACAATTTTCACAGCTATTAAATTGTGTTAAAGAGTTTTATCAAAAGAATTGTGCCAATTCTCAGTATCACTAACAACATAAGCAGCATCTTCTTAAAATGCTATTCTTTTACCAGCATCAACCTTTTAATAAAAGTACTTATTTTAACCGCACTGAAGTTCTCCCTGCTCCCAGGTGAAAAACCTGTTTAAATCCTTCACAAATTTCTCTATTGGAATTTTGGCATTTTTCTTATTTGTATTTACTCTGTAAATAACATCCTTCTCACCCTGAAAAGTATGCCACTCATCTAATTAGCCTAAGGATCTAAAGGCCCTGTCAGCAACCTCAGACTGCCTGCTGAACGAAGTCTAGAATCGATGCTCATGTCTGAGTCCCTTTCCCAATTGCCACTGGAGAGAGCTGGGCATTCTCCATCCCACGCTTGCTTTCCCTACCTCCTTGGACAGCGCACCCTGGCCGCCCCTGATCAGCGAGAAAAGGTCCCTTCCTCATCCTCATCCTCACACACTGTCACTGATTTAAAGGTCCATCTTGATTCAACAGGATAGAAAGGGTGAGCAGAGGTACCTGACTGGGTGCTGGAAATCCTGGGGCTGAGCGTGGAAATGCCAGGATGGGGCTGGGTACACTTGGTTCCGATGGAAGTTATACCCAGATCCTTGGTGACCAAACGGAGTCGTAGTAGACATTGGTTCCATGAGATGTGGTGATGCTTCAAAACCACTGGACCTGGACCTACTGGAACCCCAGTTCCTCAAAGAGAATAAGTCCCACACAGTATTACTGGTTTCCAAATTGCGTAGCCAGTCCACCCCTTGCTTTTGAGTCTATCCTGACAGAGGAGCCCTAGAGCAGAACTGCCCCTCTAGGTTTCTGAGGCTGGAAATCTTTCTCCTGCAGAGCGGGAGGTGAATTTGAACCACCAACCTTGTGGTTAGCAGGCCAATACTTAACCTACTGAAAAGAACAATCCCTGTGTCCCTCATTCCTATTTGTGCAGATTTCCCCAGTACATAAACATCCCAGAAGAATGGATGGATGTCACATAAGCAAACATTTTTTAAAGATGCCCCTAACTACAAACTTCACATGTAAGACACAAGACTTACTTCCTGGCAGTTCCATTCTGAAGGTCTTCAATGTAGTTTTTTCTTTCTATGCAATGTCCCCGACACCTGTTAAATACTGAGGAGTGGATGAACTGTTAGAAATAGTTATTCCAAATGCAAGTCTCTCAGAAAAAGCAAATCAAAGCTGAACACCTTTAAGCAATTGTTCAGACTATTATATACAAGTATTTCTAGATGTATCCCTTTTGGCAAGATTATCTTATACCAAAACAAATTAATTATCAACTTCCCCCCCAAATATGAACTATCTATCTACAATGTTTCCCCCTTCACCTTTTGCAAAAGGAGAAAAATAGTGATATCCCTCATACTCACATTCAATTGCATCATCTGGCCGCATGCCTTCTACATCAATCAAGTATCTAACAAAACAACATAATTTGGGTCATTTATATATACAAAGAGAAAAAAAATCAGACTTTGGGGCAAATATATATATAAAACATATGTACATTCAATTTCACCTGTACATGCAAATAGGAAAATCCTATGAAATCATCAGCATACTGAATTAACAACGATTAAAAGACGATATGCCAAGACCATACCACCAAAAGAAGCTTTATCCCAATAATGGAAGGATGACCTAACTTTTGGAAACCTATTAACATAATTATTTACATTAATGCAACACCATGTGAAAAGAGAAAAATGTCTACCAAACTGATAAACATTTAAAAAGAATCTCATGAAATCCAATAGTCCTTCTGGATCAAAATGCCTTATAAAGTCAAGAGATTTCCTTAACATGACAGTACTTATCAGGAACACAAGCGAAAAACAAATTGAGAAAACTATTAACACCAATCTGAAAAATACTGTCTAACCAGCCATAAACTCCAGACTCACTGGTACTGAACTGATCAAGACGCTCATAGCAATGCTATAGGACAGAGCAGAACTGCCTCTGTGAGTTTCCAAGACTAACTCTGTACAGCAGCGGTTCTCAATCTGTGGGTCGCAGCCCCATCTGGGGGTCGAATGACCCTTTCACAGGGTCGCCCAATTCATAACAGTAGCAAAATTATGAAATATCAACGGAAACAATTTTATGGGGGGGGGGCACCACAACATGAGGAATTGTATGAAAGGGTCTCGGCATGAGGAAGGGTGAGAACCCACTGCTGTACAGGAAGAGGAAGCCCTGTCTTTCTCCCACAGGGCAGCTGGCAGCTTTATACCGATGATCGCAGGGTTAGCAGTCCGGCCTGTAACCACGACACCACCAGAGCGCCTCTACCCAACCACAGGGGCCACACGCTCGGGAGCCACCATCACTGCCAGTCATTCCTCCCCAACCTTATCTCCCACCCACCACACCGAAGTCCTGACAAGGAGATTATCTAGCTCTCCGTTTCCCCACCCAAATGACCACCACAACCTGGGCCAAGCCACCGTAGACCTGCACACGCCCGCTAACTTGTCTCCCCGCTTCCATTCTCTCCCACTACAATGCAGTCTCCACTCAACAGCTAAAATGATGGACTGAAAAGGCAAATGTAATTATGTTCCACACACTCACTCCCAACAAACAGTCCAATAGCTGTCTACTGCACTTAGGAGAAAGTCCCAAATCTTACAAATAGTCCTGCGTGACTTATCTCCTAGCCTCATTTACAACTCTATTTGAGTGCCACGCTTCCTGTGTGGCCTAGGCTTTTGGTTGCTCTCAGTGTACACTTTGCCCGTCCCCATGCTCAGAATTCTCCCTTCAATCTACCCAATTAGTTAATACCCACTCCTCCTTCAGTGTTACCCACTGTCTCTCTAACCTCCTCCATACACTCGCCTCCTGCTGGACACTCAAACAGTACTGTGTACCTCACTTCCCTAGCCTGTTAGACAGAAAATCTATATGTACGTGTAATTCTTTCAAGTCTACTTCCCTTCTAGACTGTGAGTTTCAATAAGGGAGGGACCAAGTGTTTTGCTCCCAACTGTAACCTTAACACCTAGTATAAATAAAGCCTACAAAAACAGATGTTCAATAAGTATTTTCTAAATGAACATAGTGTGTGTCAACATCCATAATGTATATGAACATATATATATATATATAGTGGGTACAAGTAGACCCCAATACACACATACATCTATATACATTACGCATACCCATTAACCTAGAAATTCCATTTTGAGTGAAACAGCATATGTTTTCAGAGGTTCATATAAGAACTTTCACTACTTTAATATTTTACAATTATGAAAATACTTGACTTTTATTTCATCAATACATAAATGAATAAATCCAGCTTTACAAAGGAGGTACACAGTAATGTAATATTACCTCAGTGAAATATTATATCATCCAACAAACCACGTATGTGTTGTTTTATGGTTGCAATCTCTGCGTGGGGAGCAAGACTGCATGGTAATCGTACTTTATATATCTCTACATGGACTTTTTGCAAAACTTATCATTGTCATTAGATTACAGACAGTTTAAAATAAATGGACTCTAGGGCTAACAACTCACCTACAGATGAGATAGCCAGTCCTGTTTAAGCCATGGGTACAGTGAACCCCAATAAGTTTGTCTACAAAACAGGAAAGAGAGTTAAGAAAGAGAAGGATGTGCATTAAAGAAAAAAGCACCATCTCCCGCAGCGCAGCTCGGCAGCGTTAGCCGCTCCTCTGGAAGGGCATAAGCTGACAAGGAGTGCACTTCTCAGGAACACACTGCAAGGAACACTAACAAAGCCAAAGTGCATTTTCTCTGGGCATTTTGCAGAGACCCGAGGGTGTGAAGTGGAGGCCTGATCAGGAACTCACCGGTGAAACTGTCTTGACATAGAACGTGGACCAGTCATTGATTTAATTACAGAGAAACGATGTCAGGGAGCCGGGGCGGCAGGAGGGGAGAACAAGCTGAGAGATGAATCTTTGTTTCTATGTGACACAAATGTAATGCCTTTCTTTGGACACTGACTGGTACAGAAAGCCAACAGTCTCTAGAGTCCTCCTGAGTGCCCAGGGCATGCCCACCCTTCTCTCATCTTCAGAACAAAACAGCCAAGGGGCTTCGAGATGCCAGCCCACAGCTCACAGCAGGCAACAAGAACCAGGACTAGATTCCAGTCTAAGATTTTGCCAAATATATGGCAGTATTTTTTAGTCTATCATTACAAACAAACATCTGAGAAATTAAATCACAAGCAAAATAATGTGTCCTTTATTTCCACAGCACCTGTGCCTGTTCTTGGTGGTATTTGGAGGGAGGCATTCATCTGTTGGGATTACTGCCCCATCAGTCTCCGACTGCCAATCTCCTATTTCCTCGGCTCCTCCACATGGAAGAGGCTATCACTCTAAAGCACCATCTGAACTTCCAAGTCTTCAGTTGGCACACAAACTCGCCCAACTCCTTGGCAGGGCACGCAGAGTCTTTCATAAACTGGCTTCAGTCTGTCTTTCCACAAAGAGTGAACGGAAAACCCACAATGAGTCTCTGACTTACAAGAACCTATATGTAACTGGCCTCCCTCCCCCTTTCCCACAGCTCTGACCCTCACTCCACTGCACCCACACGAGCCCCTGGCTAATCCTCATGCCTGCAGTTTCCTCAGTCTTGGGACACTCCTCGCTGGCCTGACACAGGGCTTCGTTCCTCCTTCCTTTAAAGCTCTCCTTAAAAGACATCTTCCCTAACCCTTTTACTTTGCTTTATTGATTTGTTAAAGCTCTATCACCACATGGAAGACGTTATCAGCTCCCAGCCCGTGTACTGACTTGTTTACGATTTCTCTCCCCCATGGAATGCCAGGTCCATAAGGGTGACCACTTTGCTCTGTCTGCCCTCCTAGAAGAGTGTCTTCCACGTGGAAACGAGCCTGTGAATCCTGCGTCCCTCACACTCCTCTCTGGTTACACCCGAGGCCAGCCTCTCCACAGCACACTCAACCCCAGTGCCTCCTGTACAACTGCCGCCGACAGTGAGGTTGCCCTTTCCCCAGCCTGGTGACAATCCCTCTCCCCAGCCAGGCCTTCCTCAACCTTCCCGGTAAATTCCCACGGAATGGATTCTTGTAGCCCACTGGACTCACTGCCTCTCAATTACTTGTTCACATGCCTAGAGAACAGTGTTCATGCCGGAATGCCACGTCCTGACTAATAAACTGAAAAAAACTTGAACTGTTTATAAAATCGGCCTCTTTTTGTCTCTTAATTAGCATCCGGATTTGTCAGTGAGCCTGGCACCTCTGAGAAGGGCTAAACCGGAGGGCTCAAAAGGAGCCATGACCAGGCCCCAAGCCTGCGAGGTGAGTAAGGAGCACATTCTTCAGGCAGCAAACCAAGACTGCCCAACTGACCACACTCGAGCGACCTGTGAACACTCAGTAAACTGTCCTCACAAGGAACTAGCCCCCGAGGACCGAAGAAGTCTCCGTGTGACTCAGGAACTGGGGAAGTAGGCCTACCACTCTCCGTCTCCACAGAGCGCAGCCAGGGAGCAGGGAGCAGGCAGGCAGCGGTAGCCCCGTGTTTCAGGAGGCAATCGTTCTGTGACTACAGCTTACACGAAGCAGGCAATTCACCTCCTTTGGAGAAGCTGTGATTATTACAGGCAAAGCCAAGCCTCTCGAATTTTAAAGTTACATGCAGGGCGAGATCTGTGTACAGGGTTCAAGACATCTTACAGCTATTACATGATCGGGTTTGAAATCGTCTCTCTGAACACACAGATCCGGTCTCTCTCTTTCCCTCCCTCTCACCCCTACTCCTCCTTTCCCTCTCCCTTTCTGTTCTTTTTAAAAATCATTTTATTAGAGACTCATACAACTCTTATCACAATCCATACATCCATCCATTGTGTCAAGCACATTTGTACATTCGTTGCCCTCATCATTCTCAAAGCATTTGCTCTCCATGTAAGCCCCTTTCTGTTCTTGCGCCCCTGCTTCCCTGCCACAGGGAGGAAACAAAAACAGATACTGAGTATGCCTAAGGTGTCTTTTGAAAAGCTTACACTCCTCAGGCTAAACTAATAGAGGGCAAACTGAAGGCTTCATTTGTGGTCCAAGGACTTTGTTCCCAAACAAAGGCCCCCTCAGTCTCTAAACTAAGGCAAATCACATGTTCTTTCAGATCTTTAGCTACAGGACAAAGGCAACCAGATACTGAAAATTCAGAAGCGATGAAGATGTTTTGTTGAGAGGAAGAAACCTCGCGCCCTGGACTGTGAGGGTGCCCTCCCCTCATTTGCAGCCTAATGAAAGGACTGCGAGACGCCCCCGATGCATGCCGCTCTCTGCTGGGGTTGGCTTCTGCCTCCTTCCTTTTGCGGGCTCTGTGCCAATCTAAAGCCCAGAGTCTTAATTTTCTCTTTTTTACCTCTCACTCCTTAACCAATGCATAAAACTAAAGAACATTTTTATTTGATTGTAGAATTCCATTCAACTGTCTTCTGGTAGATGAGTGGGCTAGTTCAGTTCACCTTTCTCAGAAAATAAGTACTTTCTACACTTACTAATTGGTCGAGTGGAAGGGCACTGGAAAGAGGAAGGTCCTCGAGGATGGACAGATGCAGCGGTCCATCAAAGGGCTCGGGCACAGGAACCACTGTGAGGGTGGCGCAGGACCGGGCAGCGTTCACTGTGTGTACGGGGTCACTATGGGCGGGAGCCGACTCGATGGCCCCGAACAACAACACACAGACCAGTCGTTGACTTGTGACTATCAACGGGAAGACGTCCTTGCCCTCTGAGCACCATCTGACATTCTCATCCTACATTATCAAACCCAACAGGCCGACCGTCACATGATGGAAACTCCCCACCCTGTTCAAAATGCATTAGCCAAGGTCAGGTAAGGAACAAAACAAAAACTCACCATTATCTTTATTCTCCCTCAAAAAGTCATTAACAGCACACTTGAATTTTGAAACAGTGTTATCATCAGGCACCTGATGGCCCATTGTAAACATTTTTAAGTAGGGAATTGTTTCTGGTAAATCCTGTAAAACAAAGTCAAGAAAGAGTCTACAGTTTCACTTGCAAAGTAAGAATTAGTGATGAATTGCAGCCAGAATGTACACCAAGAGATTATTGCAAACTTAGTATTTTTTGTATTTATATGGTAACTAAATATTATCAATTCTGATCAAAGAGCCATTTTCCCCAAAGCTGGTTCTATGAGGCAACAGTGTTTGATGATCATTAAAAGCGTGGGACACAGTCTATAAATTACATTCCAAGGGCCCGTGCCCTCCCAGAGCGGCGGTGATTTCAGAACAGGGCTGTATAGTCAGAAGACCTGGATTTGAGCTGTGGGACAGCAAGCCCCAAGCACTGCTGAGAACTGGGATCAGCACAGTGAGCGGGAGAAGGCAGACACAGGTACACGCAGGTTAACTGAAAATCCGTTTGTTTTGAATTTCAATGGAAAGTACCAGTGAGAACTTACATTGGCAAAGATCTACCTACAGGTGTGTGTGTGTGTATTCCTTGCCTGCGGCCCCATCTTGGTTCCACCACTTGGAAGAAACGATGCTGGTACGGCAGTAACAAATTCTCTAGCACCTAAATCTCTCAATACTATTTCCATGTAAAGAAATCAAAGCTCCTTAGAGACCTGGTTGACTTCAAGTTTATGGCGGAAACTGTACCAGCTGAGCCTGGATAGTTTTTCGCAAAAAACATGATCTGACATTAGCAGGATCAGGCCAGACACTGAGGAGCCAAC